TATAACATCCTACCACTCAGGAAGGCAATTTCTCAGCCCCTCCGTAATGTAGCTGTATGCAGGATCACTACTGCACTTGAACGCCTGCAGCAAATGTGATCCCTCCACAGGCCCAACCCAATCACTCCAGCAACAACAAGAATTTTGTTCTTGCATGGCCAGGAAGCTCTTTGTTCCAAACAGTGGAAGAATTAAGCATTGTGGCCCAGATCCTCAGCTGATATAATTAGATGGCATTTCATTGAAACCAGGGCCAGCTGATACCAGCTGAGGAGCCAGCCCTTGATCTGCAGCAGCAACAGCTGAGGAGTAACAAACAGGCAGGAGAAAAAATCCTCCTGTTCCACTGCCTTGATAGAATAACCAGCTCAGTGCTTTCAGCAGGTTAATCAAGAAATCCCTGGGGGGTTAGATCATCCAGAATATCGTATCCCAAATTAAAGAATGGGAACACTCAAAAGCAAAAGGCTGGAGCTGGAAGCTTTGGCTTTCTGGAATCAGGTGAGGCTGGTGATACATTTCCACACAGAGCCCCCTTTGCCCTGAGGATCTGTCAGGACCAGTCCCTCCTTTCAGCTCTATTGAGCTCCAGCTTGCAGCTCAGTGTCCCTTCAGGCAACCTTAGCAAAGCCACCATGGGAAGGAGCAAGTGACCACCCGGCCTCTATGATTTGGGAGTGGAGATTTGGTCGAGATTCATTTAAAAAAAAATACCAAACACCTAACAAAACCCTGGACCCCAAGGCAGCCAAAAGAACATTTGTATGCATTATTGAAAAAAATATCAGCACACCACTTGAAATGTGTGTTGCTGATTCTTCATACACAGGAAAAGCTGACAGTGAAATCAAGCTTATGGAATCACCTCCTGTTCAGTACCAAGTGTATTCCTCAGCAATAAAAGTGATTTTGGCAGTGTGGGAGGTTAATATGCAGTACCCATCAGAGTGCCAGTGTAATCTGTGTTTATAAGGCAAAGCACCAATAAATTAGGTCAGCACATGAATCTTCAGAGGGAGGAAGGAGAGGGAGAGCAGGAAGAGCACCCTGGGCAGCAAGGCCACAGGGGCCAGGCAAGGCATGTGATGCCCTCAGGACTCCCAGCATCACAGACAGAGGCTCTCAGGAAGGAAAATCCATTTTGCCATTAGAAGTAACAATAAAAATATTACACTGATTCAAAATGTGCAATCAGGCCTGACTTACAGCTTGCCCTGCTGCATTCAGGCTTTACATCAGAAGGCTGTAAACCGTTATAGCAGAAAATAATAGCTGGGTATATTTACTCACCCAAAACCATGCTTCATTTATTTACCTGAATACACTATCACGTACACTGACCATTGTCGCTGCTCAGCCAGGCAGGCAGACAAAAATGGGCAAAATAAACATCTACCCAGATTTCAGCAGCAGATAAGGTATTAACTCATGCACAAAACAATGAAGAAATGTCAGGATATACAACAGTAACCCCTCCTGAATTCTTGATTGTATTATTAAATAAAAGTAAAGGTAGAACATGCAAAGAAGTGCTGAATGCCTATTTGTAATAGCAAATTAAAAAGCCTGTTAGCTCCAAAGCAATCCTGGCTTGTGATTGTAGCAATTCAATGTGAAATTCCCAATAACATTCAAGTACTTCAATAAGAGAGGAAAGATTTTAATTCAATGACCAAAAATAAAATAAAGAGTTGATGTGAATGACTTGATTTCATTTATATTATTGAAATGAGCTGTATGCAATGACTTATTGATGTCATAATATTCCATTAGGAACTTATTATTTTCATGTTTACATAATGCCAGCAATTACAGGGGTAATGCTGGTCCAACACACAGCACAGCAGAAATAGAAAGCTCTTTGCCACATACTGGAATTCCATATGAAGATGTAGAGTTTAGTGAAGGAGAAATATTTAAATATTCCTTACTAAGACTAAGTTAACTTGGAAAATTAAATTATAAACAACTATCTTCTACTTCTAACTAACAGCTGCCCAAATCAGGCATGTCTACAAAGACCCTGTGGCTCTATGCACACAAGTTTGGTACTTAAAAGCCTGTTTGAACAATAATCAGCAGTTACCAAAAATTTTGGGGGTTTTATCAAGTCTTGAAGGCAAATATTTGAAGCCAGAGGAGGTAACTTGCACGCAGACATTGCACTTGCACTGGAGGGGAAGGGGCCAGGGCCTCACAGTACATGGGCAGGGATGTAGGGCTGAAATCCAGCTGGCTGGACACAAATCCCTGTTTCTTCCCTTGCAGCAGAAAAAGGGAACCCTTCCCTAGCAGGGGTGGATCACTGAACCCCCAGATCCCAGCACAAGCACAAACTCTCCTGCAACAAGCTCACACTTGCCCATGGCCAGCAATGTCCTGGGAAGCTGCACCAGCCTTGGAATACCTTAGCATGGGTCCCTGGGTCTGCCTGCCACCTGCCACCCAATTTCCAGGCTATCCTGACCTGCAGCCCTCTCCTGACTTCTCCCAGTGGTTTCACACACCAACAACCCATGGCTTCCTGAGCACAGCCACCTCAGCCCTCCTGACCCAGCAGGTCCTTCCATTCCCATCCCCCTGGCCAGAACATCAGGCTCTCTGCCAGCCCCACAGAATGCAAATGTGAGGTTGGCACTAATTTTGTGTTCCCAAACAGATGATTTACAGAGGTGAGAGGGCACAGTGGCTCCAGGACAGGAGCAGGGCTCTGCTCTTTCACCTGCTCATGGGAAAGGTCCATAAGAAAACAGAGCTGGCATCCTCCTGGTGTGATGGGCTACAGGGTGGCCCACAGGGATTTGAGAAGAGCCAGCTGAGCTCTGGCTTCATTCCCTGGGCTTCACCAGTCAGCACAGCTGAGAGGCACAGAGGGGCTGTAACACACTGCTGGTACTGATCATCACCAGCCTCCAGCACAGGGGAAGAAAGGCTCAGGAAACAAGGAACGATGCATTTCCCATCGTCCAAAGCAAAGCTACAGGTTCACTCTCTGCCCGAGTTCACCAACTGGCCAGTGCATCTCATTTCACAGATGACCAGTCAGTGGCTGAAGGCATTTCTAGATACTGAAGTTGAGAAACAAATGCAGAGACATAAGCTCTTTTACTCTTTTATTCACATCTCTGTGGTACTTTGGTCCACAAAGGTCAGTTACAGAAGAGAATACAGTAACATCTACCAATCTCACATCCTGAGATAAAACTCAAGTGTTGAAAAGGCTCAAGGAATAAAGAGCTTGTAGAAGACAGGGAGATTCAGTTTACAGGCAGACACAATTTAGATGAAACCATACTTAACTAAATAGCCAATATGCACTAAAGGTCACACTGATGAAAACAAAAACATGTTGTTTAGAGGAATTAGTTACTTTTTCACAGTATTGTCATTTTCACCTCTTGAAAGTCATGTAATTAACTACAACTAGTTGCTTGCATTATATTTCAAAGCTAGTTTTCCTTTCATTATACAGCTTTTACACATGGAGTTACAACATGTTTGACACAATGTTCTTTTACTGTAAAGTAAATTCAAACAACCTTAACTTAAAAAACTCATTTTAAAAATTTACAATTTTCTCCTCGCACCTGTTCAGTTTCACCCTCAATCTAACACCATAGGCCTTAGTTTTAGTAGGACCAACACTAAGAAAATGCAGCCAAAATTTGCAACCCACAAATTCTACTGTGCCTTGCTAAAGGAAATAATGTGTTATTTTATCTATTCTCACTTGAAGTGCTACAAACAGCTCCCCCAGAACTCCTTAAAAAACCACAGTAGAGTGGAACTTCAGTGATACACAGAGAACCAGGTACCCTGCACACACCCCTCACTGCCTTCTGCTGCCCTCCTCCATCAGCCATGTAGTCAATTGTCCAGACAGCCTTTGTCCAAGCTGATCTTGGTGAAAAAAGTTGGGAAAAGATAGAAAGCCTTGCTTCTGGTTCTGTAGCAAAATGTTTTTCTGTGACTAACTACACCTGTTCTTGAAGAATCCAGTTCTACCTCTGAACCCTGGGACCACAAGGTCTCTCTAGGACAGCGAGTTTTGTCTCTGCACAAAGGTACAGAGCAGTCCATGGGATCATGGACAACTCTTAGGTTGTTTTTTTGGGTTTGTTTTTTTTTTTTTTTTGTTTTTTGTTTTTTGTTTTTTTTTTTGGTTCATCAATCTGTTTTTTCCTCCTGGAAAGTCAGTGATTTCCCTTGTGCAAAACATGGTGGTGACACTCTTAACATGGCATGGATGTGCTTCAGAGGAGTGCAAGGCACGGGGCTCTGCAGGAGTGCCAGCAAGGGAACAGTGCTGGATGGGGCTGGGTGGGTGAGGAAAGATTTTTTGAGGAAAAGAAATACTTTGATGTGGTTTAATGCAGGGAAAAATGGACTGCCACATTCAGCACTGAGATGGTTCTGTGGAAAGGTGGTGGTGGGTCAGGGTAAGCACTTCATCTTTCTCAGTCCTCCTACAGCCCAACTCAACAGCTGTTGGAGCCCTGCTATGGACCACAGAATCCAGGGCAACGCTGGCCAAAGACAGAAATCTGAGTTCCTGCCTGATTCTGCCAGTTCTCAGCATCCTGCCTGATCACCTGAAGAACCAGGAACAGCTTGTTCCTTCCTCCAGAGTGCCCTCACTCTGGGACAACTGCCAGCAGCGCTCTCGGGGCTGTGCTGGCCCCACGGCCACCACTTCCATCAGCCCACTGAGCCACCAGACACGGAACCAGCAGGAGGGAGGGCAGCACGCTGCCGGTTTCCACAGCCCGAGGGATGTCGGATTAGACAGAAAGGTGCTCCCGGGGGAAGCGGAGCCGCGGCTCCCCGGGCTGACCTTGCCGGGCGGGGGGCAATGCGCCACTTGCCAGCCCGGGCGGTGACGGAGCAGAAGCGATCCCAGCCCGGGCACTCACCGCGCTGCTGTTCCTGCAGATTCCTCTCTCCTCTACCGCTTCTCCGTCTTTCCCCTTTATATATTTTTTTTTTTCCCCAAACCTTTGTGGAACAGACGCCCTCTCCTTGCCCCAGTTGGAGCTGCAGTAGAATGAAAAGGGAGGGGGGTGGGAAGGAGGGAGGAGAGGAGGGAAAAAAACCCTCTTTTGGTTGAGGTTTTCCTGTTACTATCACTGTAGCGTTTATTTAGCCAATCTCCTAACTATGACGTGAGGAAGGCAGGAATCATGGCTCGCTCATAATATTTAACACACCCACTGAAAGCTGGAGCTGCAGAGCTACTAGTCCAACCAGTCTCCAGAATTCAGTGTAGCTGAAAGAGGTTTTCACTCTGCACCTGCCAAAGATCTCTCCCCCCTTTTCCTTCTCTCCCCCTTCTCTCTTCCATTCTCTCTTTAAAAGAAAGATCTGTAAGACCCAGCAGAGATCAAAGACCTCTTCGCTAAAAAGAACCTCTACTGATTTATATTAGTTTCTTTCCTCTAATCCTTCCTTCTCTCCCCTCTTTTTTTTTTTTTTTCTGTGCCATATTTAACCTTTATGTTGCAGTTGTGCCATCAGACAGTTTTGCAGCCAAAAAAAAACAACCCAAGCCAAAGCACAAGCCCAGCTCGGATACAGCAGCCACCCAGACTCGATCTCAGTTAACTTACTAATCTCTCCCAAGCACTGGACGCGATGGATGAAGAAACGGGAACCGCTCTAAGAAAATGATTTTCCAGCCAATGTTCTTAAAGAGTCTGAGAGAAGAGAGGGAGCAAGAGCGAGCGGGGAGCGCTTCTGCTGCATCACTGCTCAAATCCAAGGGAAAGGAGTCAGCGTTTCCAGCACAGCCAAATATTATGGATGATTTTTTTTCTTCTGTCGTCTTTCTGCACAGGTTTTCTTAATATTTTTATTTTCCCCCTCCTCCTCCCCATTTTTTTTTTTAATTTTATTTAATCAGCGCCTGTGTCTGATGCCGGTTTCTTTCCAAGAGCCAGTTTTCCCTGTTTGTTGTGATCTCTGTAATAAAAAGAGGGAGAAATCGTGAACAGATGGCTTTCTATATTACCATGCCGCTGGCATTGTTTTCCTGTTGATTTTAAAAGCTCGGTCCGGAGCTCCTTTTTTTTTCTCTTTTTAAATTTTTTTTTCCCTTTTATTTTTTTTTCCCTCCCCCTCCCAAGTTCTTGATGATACTGAGACATGAGGACCTATCGGGTTTAGCCTGTTTATTTCCCGGCGCCTATGGAGGTAACTTTATTGACTTGATCTCTCGCTTCCCGACCCGAGAGGAGCACGCCGGAGCCCCGGGGGGGGCCCGGCAGCCCCGCGCCCGCCCGGGCTCTGTCCGCCGCCTCCCCTCCTTCCCCCTCCCCCGGTAATTCATCAGCCGCTCCGGCCATGAAAATGCTCCTGGTCCGCAAGTTCCGGGTGCTGATCCTGATGGTGTTCCTCGTCGCCTGCACCATGCACATCATGATCGACCTGCTGCCGCGCCTGGAGCGCCGGGGCCCCGAGGGCCGCCCGGGCTGCTCCTGCCCGCAGCCCGCCGCCGCGCCGCCCCGCGCCGCCGCTCCGCGCTGGCCCAGCAAGCACACGCTGCGGATCCTGCAGGACTTCAGCGCCGAGCCGGCCTCCAACCTCTCGTCGCAGNGGGAGGGCGCGGCGCTTGATCGGCCCCGGGGCGCCGCGCCCGCCGCCCCCCGCCGGCAACGCCGCCCCGCTGGCCGCGCTCTTCGAGCACCCGCTGTACCGCAACGCCCTGCCCCCGCTGGCCGACGGCGACCTCCTCTTCAATGTCAACAGCGACATCAGGTTCAACCCGCGGGCGGCCGAGCAGCCCGAGTGGTGAGTGGGACCGCGGGGGACGTGGCGTGCGCCCAGGGTCGCTGCTCTTCGGTGGGGAACGCGGGGTTTAGGGTGGAAGTGGCTTTAGGGTGGAAGTGGGCAGAGGGGTGAACAGAGCGTTTCGGGGTCACCGGGAAAAAGAGCAGCCATTCACAGGCTCGCTCGGTAATGTTCCTTTGGAAAATAAATGCCCTGAAATACAGAATAAACACGGGAAGGCTGAGCGCTGAGGCCGAGGGGTCGGTCTGCCCCATCTCCAGCTGCAGCCGACGAGGATGCTGCCAGAAGAACGGTGTGAGGAAGAGGGTGAGCTCGCAGCGAGCCTTCCTCTCCAGCACCTTCCCAGTCTCCCACCCAGAGGTGAAGGGTCTGAACAGTGAGGCCAGACAGTAATACATTAACTTTTCTCAAAAGCAGGCTCTAGTGCCACAAAGGCATTCATCCTGGCAGGTATTTCCGCTTTCAGGATCTGATCTGTGCTACATTTTTCATCCTCAATTAATTCCCAGTGCCCTGCACCTCCGCTGCTCTCCAGCCTTCAAAGCAGTCAGTTGCCTCTGTGAATCGTATGCCCTGTTGGCTCCTAAGAAATGCTGAGAAATTCAATGACTGAAAAATCAAAAGGGTTGTCTAATACAACAGCACCCTCTTCCAAACACACTGACATTGTAATGTTTAAACAGCTGCATTGTACCGTGCAAAAGCTCTGTCAAGCTGCAGAGCAGCCAGCATGATCTAAACCTTTAGAAAGAGAGGATAAATAATTCTGATTTCCGCCCTATGAGCATGTGAATTGTCCAGGCCCATTCCATCTAATAATCCTAACTGACTGTGAAGGGAAATAACCTGGAAAGTTTTGTGTTCTCTGAAAGAAAAAGAAAGGGGAAAAAAAAGTCACAAATGCCTGAACATCTGGAGATGACTGTAAACACAGAGAACTCTGGATCAGAAATATGGGTTAGTCTGTTCAGTAGGCGAAGAGTGAAATCAGCACTGATATCCACAATGCAGCTGCCTGTTGTACATATTTTCCTTAGTGGCTGCAGCCAAGATTCACAGAACTAAAGTGAATTTCAGAAGGTAGTGATCATTTTAATTAATTCATTGCTGTAGTAGGTTCCTACTGCTCAGGAAGGGGCAAGACCAGCCAGTTTTTCTTTAGCAGCCAGTTCAGAGTGATGCGGTTTCTGTCATTCTCCCTCTTTAAGAAGGAGGAGGGAGTGGGTGCATTGGGCACCACAGCTCAGGTTTTGCTGCACTCTTTTCTGCAAGGGTTTCCTGCCCCATGTCCCTGTTAAATAAAGGTTCAGGATGATGCTGTTGTTCGAGCCAGACCTGTAAAAGCTGTGTGCAACATAAAGCGACCTAAACACAAGATAAAACTTGAGCTCTGTGTTTCTGCTATGGAAGGGCCTCTGCCAATGCTCCGTGATGCCTCTCTGAGTTTTGCTCCTGACTTTTGTGGGTGATAAGTCAGGCAGGATGAGGAGAAGTGGGAATCCATCTCCCCTCTGGCTCCAGGTGGGAGAAGGCTCCTGGCGCAGGGAGGAACCTGGGACCTCTCTCCCTTCTGTAGTGCTTTGCCTTTCCAAGTTGTCACATTTTGAAGCCCTGTTTCTTGATGAGTGCTACAAACTGTAACATTATTTCTTTCTCTTCAACTTTGGGTTTTTGTTGTTTTTTTTGGTTTTTTTTTTTTTTTTTTTTTGGTGGTAGGCAAAATGAAGATCATCATGAAGAATTTTTGCCGACTGGAGAAACCTCCATAGACTCCTACCCAAACTGGTTAAAATTCCACATTGGCATTAATCGGTACGAGCTGTATTCCAGACATAATCCTGCAATTGAGGCTTTACTACAAGACCTTGTCTCCCAAAAGATAACCAGTGTTGGTATGTTTGGATATATGTTATTTTTTTATCATTATTTGCTCTTTGTTCCGGATCTCACTGCTGTTTGAGTATTAATATTTTGCATGGCTTCTCTCCAGCATCCCTGCAACTTTGCTTTCCGACTTCCCTGCTCATTTTCCCTGCTAAACATAAAGAGATATTTCCAGCTCTGTCATACCTGAATAATTGCCAAATCTGCCAGCAAGGCAAGCCCCATTCGTGTCAGAGATCCTTTAGTCACAGTCAGGCTGAAAGTGCCCTCTTCAGTTATTTAAAATAAATATGCTGACAAAAAAAAAAAAAAAAAAAAAAAAAGAAAAAAAAAAAAAAAAAAAAAAAAAAAAAAAAAGGATGGCAGAAAGCAGACAGCATCTTGCACGAGCTAGATTTGTATTACTGGCTGATTCTTATTTAAAAGCTGTGCCTGGCAGCCCTGCCATGCCAGGGGAGGAGAGGCTGCCCTGCAGCCCTGCTGCGGTGGCTGCGGGGGCATCCGGCACCGCGGGCTCTGCGGCTGCAGGAGCTGCAGCTTCCCCAGGCATGGCAGGGAGCTCCAGGCAAGCCAGCCTCCTGCTGAGCAGGGCTCAGGTCTGTTTGCTCTGCCTGTAAATCCTCAACAGGGATGTGCCCATGTCAGCCTTTGGCTCTGGTTAAACAAGGTGACACCGTTCGGGGCTTTTCTCCAGGGTTGTTTAATGGCAACGTGTGTCTTCTTGAATTTAGCTGCGTAGCTGCACAGGGAAAGAAATGTCACAACCTTAGATGAAAGCCCTGGGATACTAAACAAGTGCACACCCCGAGGTTTCCAGAGGTAGGGAGTTGCAGCATAGGCAATGGTTTCCATCCACCAGGCAGAAAATGGAGTTACTTGTGCTGACCACAAAGTTGCAAAGTCCCTTTCAGGGGGATGAAATAGCAGGAGCTCTGTGAAAGTGCTGATGGTGTGTTGGCACTGTGGGATGAGGTCAGCAGGTCTTTAACCCTGCAAGGCAAAAATTCCCCTGGCTTCAGCAGGAAATGGTCTGGGCAAGAATAGCTCAAGCAGCCCTAAGGTTCACATTTTCCATTGTGTGAATCACAGTGGCTGCTGAGCAGGAATAAAGGAGACCCTTGGTCATCAGGAGTGGCTGATTTAGCTGGTTGGGATGGAGTAGGTGTAAAATGCAGGATGCCACAGGAGACCTTCAGCCCAGTGAATCTTGCTCTGTGTGTGCTGTGCTCAGTGCACTGCTCTGCTGGAGCAGCACTTTGGATAAAGCAGTTTGTGGTACCCAGATGCCATCCCACGAGTTGGATTCAAGGGTCCAGTGGACTTGTAGCTCAGGAAAGAGAACAAACATGGGCTTGTTTATTAACCTGTGGTGGGTTTTCTGTCCCCAGAAATGTGCATTGGGGTGATTCACTAAGGGGGTCATGTTTGCCCATTAAGCCATGTGTTTTCCCTTCCCCAGAGGTGACACTGCAGGTAGAGCAGACTGCCCGTGCTCCTCTGGCCTGCCCTGGAGGGTGACGAGGGCACTGTATGGACACAGCCTGGCTGATTTTCCCCCAGACACAGCCCTCACCTTTCCTGACCTCGCCCCTCAATACCCACCAATTTTTGGAATATTAGTGGCGCGTGCAAATGAGGATTGAGCCAGCACTTGGTAACACTGTGTGAGCATTGCTCCTTGGGCACATCCACGGGGTAGGGACAGATGCAGTCTGTGCCCATCCCTGTCCCCACAGAGAGCAGCAGTGCCCAGGCAGTGCCCAGAGGGGCAGAGGTGATGCCCAACTGAGCCATCTCTTGAGGTTTGCACAAAGTGCAGTGGCTGTAGCAGTTTGTACCACATGGCTGCTGAGTATTGATCTTTGCTCACCTCCCCAGCAGTCCAGAGCTCAGCTACACTGTCTGTGCAGGAGGAGAGCATCTGCAGCAAACTCAGCAGTGCTCAAGCCATGAAGTCTGTCCCTCCTGCAGAGCAGGGGATGGCTGAGGTGGATTAGGGACATAGAAGCCGGTGGGAGAAAAAGCAAGGTACAAGCAAGAAATAGTAGTTCAGTGCTCACTCTTCACTTGATCTTCTGGGCTTGGTGTTCACTTGTGCTTCTGGGCATGTGGCTTCACCTCTCCCTGCTTCAGCTGGCCTAGCAGCAAAGAATTATTATCATAAAAATTAGGAGTGAGATCCCGACCCTGGTGACGTCAGTGGAAGGTTTTGCCGCTTACTTCCCTGGGGCCATGATTTCACCTAATGTGTCATACAGATGTATCATGGGGTTCCCATTAATTCTGATTTTGATGGAGCTTTCTGATCAATGGGGGGAAAGGGCCATGGGAGCACAGAGGAAGATTTATGGTTGCTATTAGCAAGTCCCTTTGGGATTGTCTCTGTTAATGTTTGAACAAGGCTCTTAAGAGCATGGTAGGGCCTCTTATGCCTCTAACAAAAACACAGAGCCATGGTTTCTAGCAATGAATCAGGATAATTTCCATAAATTAAACCATGAGGTGTATTTGGTATTGTTGTTGGCCGCTATGGGAACTGACAGGGAATGATTCCTACACATAAATCCCAGTCTAAAATCGAGTACGTGGAAATGGAAGTACATGGAGATGCTGGGATCTGAATTTTGGTGTTAGCATGCTGTGACCCTGTGGGGATCCAGGAGCTTGCAAAGAAAGAAAGAGTATATTGCTAATACACTTTTTAAAATTATTTTTTGCACAATGCAACTTCTCTTATTTTATGTTGCAAATTCTTTGGATGTTTAAAAATACATGTTTTAAAGTAATTCCTGCCAGTTTTCAGCTTTACTGCAGAGCAGCAGAGGGATTCAAAAGCATGTAAGCTGATTAATAAAGAGTAATATATTTGACCAAAGGACATTTATAGGGCTGTTACATTCTTTGCATATTCCTGCTTATCTTCTAATTAGCCTTGGGTTTTGGTTTTTTTTTTTTCCTTATGGTCAATTTTTGATGGGTTGGGTTTTTTTTAAGGCATCTGGAAAGATGTCAAGTTAGGAGTATAAAATAAATTGAAACCTTGATAATGCCTGGTCTTCAGGCTCCTTTTAGCAAGCAGAACAATTAAATATACAGGGTTACATGCATTAGGTGAAATGGGATATGTCTTTATCCAGTTTCTTCACAGTGTTCAGATTTACTTTGGCTCGAATAGAATTAGATGATTTGCCTGATACTACAGTAATTAGATCCAAACTGCAGCAAAGCAGCATTCTTGGCCACGCTGTGATTTCTCTGCTCACCCTGCATTATTTATGGGTGAGAGTGGGGAGCAGACTGATCCCCCACATCTGCTAGGACCACTCACACGACTCTGCCATGTGCAGTGGTATTTTAAAGTGAAAACGGTGACAGAAACAATTCCCAAGAGCAGGGAGCACCAAGGTGACATTTTCTTGATGTTAAAAGTTTAAATGGAACAAATCCATGGGTGGGAAGGAGCATCCCATCCAGCTCCCACAGTGACACCTAGAGCTGGCCTGGGAAAGGACAGAGTTACCTAGGCCTGGGCTGGGGATGTTTCTGTGCCCTGCATCTATATATACACACATTTCCTATTCATTTTGTTCAGCATAAAGGGATAGCTCTTAATTCGATTTAATTCACTGAAAATTTCCTCTTGCCATAAATAGGAGCCTAGAGAGAATTGTTTTTCCACTGAGCACTGAAGCCTGGCTTTCAGAAGCACATGCACAGGCAATTGCACATTTCCTTTGCCTTTCATAGCTGCTTATTGCATGCATAAATAACCATAGTTAGCTATTTTCTTGCATATTTACAAGATGTCTGTGCATAATTGTGGCGGCACTATCAGCAGTTTAGCACCAGCTCTGGCATGGTGCATTGGAGGGGCACTGTGGGCTTGCTGTCCAGAGGAGATTCCCTGTGAGCAGGATAGACTTTGTAATTCCTCTGAGGAGCTGGGACTTATTTTTTGATTCTTTAAGTTCTCTGGTTATAAAGAGAACTGACTACCTGACTGAGGTAATTTGTGAATCTGTGATGCCTTCAGTTTGTGCAGGAAGTAATTAGAAAGCAAGTGTTTGAGATTACTCACACTGGGAATAAGAGCTGCAATTACCTGAGGTGGACTCTGCTTCAAGGCAGGGAGAGAAAAGAGAAAAGGGAATGACAAGACTCTAAATATTGAACATAAATTCTGGCTCTAAAGAAAATCGTGAACATTTCATCCAAAGGAAAGGAAGAAGTGCTTTTGAGAACTCGTGAAAAACAATTAAATGTAGCATCTTTGATTTACTGCGTAAGGAAACAATGAATCAGCCAAGATTCAACAGACTGATTTAATGTACAATTCCAGATGAAAGGAGGGGACTTAAAATGTACAGCAAAGCCTTAGAATAATTTCACAGATCTCTTCCCCTGCTGAAATCTTTCACTTTCTTGACTAAAAGTCCAAAAAGTCCTTTTAAAGCAAGTTAGCAGAATTGGCTGAACAAGGACAAACTAAGAGATGATAAGGGCTTGAATTTATTTTTGAATATGTTCTTTACAGCTTGTACAGGGCCATGTCTCCAGCCTGGGGCAGAGCATTACTTGTTAAAGCCAATCAACATGTTTATGTTAGATTTAAGCTTGATCTATAAATAGGAATCCAAAATGGATCTGAGCATCTTCTGTTTCAGATGTTAACTGCATCCCAGGCTGTGACTGTATCTCACTTCTCAGGCATTAGCTCTGCATAATTAAATATGTTTTAAAATGTTTGTTTGATGCTGACCAAAAGAATCAGGAAAAGTTCAGAGATCCTGTTGGGACTCTCTCTCTCCACCAGAAAACCATATGGTTTAGACAGGCTGGTAGCATCAGGGCTGTCATGGGGCAAAACAGAAGAGCTGGAAAGCCAGAGCAGTTGGAATTCTAAATCCCTCTGGGACAAATCCCTCTGGGCAGCATTGTCAGTGCCAGGCAGTAGCCAAGAACTCTGTAGCATACAGCTTGAAAAGATGCCTGGGAGATGATAGCTGGGGTACCAAATTTTGTATTGGATGGGGTCTGTGGCTCAGGGAAGGAATCCAGGACTTGTATTGGTGAGGTGACAAGGTGGGGAAGTCAGACATGGCAGCAGGCTCAGGGATGTAAATGGAGTGGGGATTTTTGCAGGCTTGATCCAAAGTCTGTCAGAGAAAACAGAAGGAATCCCACCAATTTCACTAATCTTTGGACAAGACTCTAGTCCCAAACATTCAAGCAAAAAGATATCTCAGAGAATTTTTTGCAAAGCCTCCTGAAGTTGGGAAGATTTCTGATCACACCCTAGAGCCCTTACACTGGGTTAACAGGAAAGGTTAATACTGCTTTCCATTTCCTTCTACTTTGGAGGGAAAAGAGAGGCTTTGAATTGCCTGAAGATGAAAAGTAATGATGGCATTGGGATTTGTTTTTAGCAGTGTGCCAGTACATCCAGGAGCTGTGTGAGACTTGATTTGAAGTACCTGCTGTGAGCTAGCAGGTTTATAAAGCCTGTACAGAGCTGTTTGTGACCCATGGTGTTAAAGTATATTAAAATATTTCAAAAAAATAAAAGGTGAATTTAGAGTGTGACTAGTGGTTCCTTTGGAGTCAGCAGAGCCTTTTGTAAAAATCCCTGGACCTGCTGATCACAGATGTGACAGATTGCAGTGGTGCAGCATCCTGCACTTCTTGGAGAATAGGGTGTGCTGCTCCTGGGTGTTGTACATTCTTCAGGAATGGGCAGCAGATAAAGGCACAAGGATGTCTCCAGATGAGCAAATGATGTTTGTTTGGGACAAACCCCTGGGAGATGACAGGCCACAGTGGCCAGAGGGACATGTTTCACTGAGGCTGGGCAGGAAAGGGAGGAGCACAGCTCAGAAAAGGAGAGGGGAACCAGTGTGCAGATGTGATGCTAAGTTAGGACAGGGGAAGTGATCTGACCTAGAGTGGATCATCTCCAGTGAAATCTGCTCTTCTCTGGCATTGCTACCCCCAAAATTTGGTCACCCTAGGCTGTTCCCAGGCTGCTTAGTTTGCAGGTACAGCAAGGGTCTTGTTGAGCTCAAAGAAACAGTCCAAGTTTTGGTGTTCCCGTCTCTGCAGGGATTACAATGTCAAAATCCAGGCTGGATGTGGAGGGTGCCTTGCCTCCCCCCCAGCCTGGCCAGCACAGCTGTGGCACTGGAAGAGCTGCAGTGAGTCTGGGCAATGGGGGAAAGCCAAGGTGGAGCTCTGGCATCAGGGGGTTTCCATGCTCCATGTGGGTTCCACCCTGCCCTGCCCTAAAGCAAATGGGACACAATCCCCACCAGTGTCCCCCTCTGGTTTCAGAGTTCCAAAGCTTCCTCCCAGCAGCAGTGAAGGAGCCAGCAAAACTTGTGTTGGGGTAAGGCTACTGGGGCAACCAATTAAGGCAATACAATAAGATAGATCTAAAAAGATGAGGGAGATGCTTTTGTCTTACTTCAGCTCAGTTCCTTCTGACAGGAAACCAGGCTTTTGTGTCTCATGGAAGAATTATTCTGAATTGTTAATCTTCTTCATGCATTTCCCTGCTTGGTGATGACATCCTCGCTGTTGAGTTTGGCTGCTAACAAAATCATTATCTGTTGAGTGGCTTTAATTAGCTGAGAAACCAGTCCTTTTAGTATCTGAAGCTCTGTGCCTAGAGAAGAGTGTGCTGAAACTTCCTTTTTTCCCTTCTTTGCATTGCTGTGGTGGCAGGGGGGTTAGATTAGTGGATCTTTAAGGCCCCTTCCAACCCAGACCATTCTGTGATTCCATGTTTCTTTGAAATGCCAGGCCTGTGGTGGTGGCTGAGCAGGGAGGGTGGTGGTGCCCTGTGTCCCTGTGGGCATGGGGCAAGGGCAGCTCCAGCTGCCACACTAACCAGGACTGCTTCCAGAGTGCACAGATGGCCCCAGGGCACCACAGGCAGGGTTTGGACCAGAAAGTTTCTGCTTCTCATCGTCCTCAGGCTCTGAGCTGGGCATGAAAAAGCCTTGTGCTCCTCCTGCCCTCAGGTGCAGACCTATCCTGCACAGGGGAGGGAGTTTAGTCCAGGAAAGCCCTTTGCTTCTGCTTTACCTGGTCAGTGCACATTGCTTAATGCCCTTTAATTTCTAATTATTTATTTGTTCCTTTGGGATAAAGTGAAAAGTCAAGAGAAGGCTGGGATCAGCAAAACAGCAGGAGAGAAGGGATTTTATTCTAGGAGAAGTGTAATTACACTGACCAGATTTGCATAGCATTTTGTTGCAAAAATATAGGTTACAAGTGCTGAAAGAGAGCTGATGAACTATCAGTGATAAGGCACAGAGATGAGTAATTAAAAGACGTACAGCTAATGGCATTGGTTAGAGAAAAAACATGTACAAGCTGTATAGGTGGAACAAGGGCAACTCTCAGCCAGAATTTACAGAGTAAGATAACTTGACATTTCTGTAGTTCTCCAGTTGACATGGCTTTTGTCAGAACTGCAAAGAAAGGGATTGATTATCTGATGATTCCTAGAAAGCATCTTTAAAAGACTGACTCATCCACACAGCCCTGCTGGCCTTCCCAGCACAGAGGTGCATTTAGGAGTCAGGCTATAGGTCATTTCATTTATTAGCAAGCTTGTGATTGAGGCAGCAGAAAAGCAGCTGTTTTCTGAAGTATATGTTTATCTTTTTAAAGTAGCCTTATCATCAAGTAAAATGCATTTTTTTGAATTCATATATATATATATATATTTTAAATCCTGATTTTAAAAACACTATAATCTGGCTTTTACTGTGACATTGTCCAAGTTTTTCAGAAGGATATGAATGAGTATCAAATTCCCATTATCTCCCAGCTGGGAGATGAGCAAAGTCACTCTCCTTGTCACCTTCACTGTGCTCTTGTGCCCTCCCAGCCAGGCCAGGCTGCTCTGCAGAGCTCTGCTCTCGTGTATGAACCACCCTGGGATCCCTGGAAGGTGATGGCTGGGCTTGGCTACATTTTCATTGTGCACCGAGGAGGTGAATTTACATATCTCTGCTGCTCAGGAACAGTTATTAAAATCACAGCAGAGATCAGAGATTGCTACAGTATCTGCTCATTCTTTTAATTAAGGAGCTGTCTGCTGTGCACTGGGCTGTACTTCCCAGCTGCAGCTGTCTCTGAAAGCACCACATCTCCTTTCCCAGTGTGAGTCCCTTGTTAAAAGGGACTCCAAAAGCAAGAGATGGAGAAAACAAGACTCCAGTGGTCTGCTTCTATGGGTGCTGTTCATCTGGGGTGCTTATGGAGCCCATGGTGGCCAGAAAAAGGTAAAAATGGTCAGGAAATACAATCCGTGTTTAGATCTGGCCAGCACTCAAAGCCCTTCCTGTGCTCTGTGAATAATCTGTTGCTCAGTTAGGATCACTCTGATACCACAGCGCTGAGCTGATACAGAGAAAAGCAGATATGATTTGGTTTCAAGGAAACTGTCAATAGATCCATGTTTCATTTTAAAGCTGTTTTGTGTTTTTCCCCCACAGCTATGAAATCAGGAGGCACCCAGCTGAAGCTGATCATGACATTCCAGAACTATGGACAAGCATTGTTTAAACCAATGAAGTAAGTTTGAAAAGTCTGTGATTTAAAGTGGAATTGTGGTGGAGTAGCCATTTCCTCAGCTGTTAAATTTTGCTGTAGGATCTCCCAAGGTTAACGTGTCCGGTTCCTGAGCCTTGCTGCTGAGCCTGGATCTTTAGGGTCTGCTGATCCCTTGTCCTGCTAGACTGGTCTTTGGAGGAGATGCTGAGGAGGCTTCAGAGACATCACAGTCTTCTCAGGAATGTTATTTACTGTGATCTCTGTGAAATCTCCTGTCATAAATACAGGATGTTTTCAGCATTTCTATCTTGTGTAAACTTATTCCAGAGGTCTGAGCTTTATCTAGTGTCAGTGCTCCTCTGGAACATGGCCAGCCAAGAGAGATGATTCAGAACAGCTTTGGGAAGAGCTAAAGAGTATTTGTCTCATAAATTAGAACTTAATCAGTTGATTTATTATTGTTTGCATTAAAGAGTTGTATTAGTCATTTCATTGGGTCTATACTGAGTCTGTGAAAATGAGTTTATCCAAGAGTGGTACTGCAAGGTAATGACTCTGGAGAGAAAGGGAAGGACAAGGATTATGCAGCCTTGATTTGTGCCGGCCTGGATCCCATTGAGATGAGAGAAGTTATTCAGATACAAAAGAGACTCCTGAATCCTGACCTCTATGTTTATGTTGTAAGAAGGAAAATGACTCTGTGCTCGTTGTAGAGGGTTTAGCAAAAACCACCCAGGGCTGCAAAATGTTTAATGAAGCTATTCAGTATCTGTGTCAAGGGTACCATTGGTATCATAAATTCATTTCCTTTTTTTGTTCCCACTGTAGGGAAGTTCAGTTAATTTCCTCTAAGATGATCCATAGAAGACTAGAGTAGCTGAGAATGGGAGGTTTGGAGTAGGTGTTGGCTCTGTGTTAGAGCTGTAGTGGGGAGCACAGCTTGGGGGAGAGCTGCTGGTTGCAGACTGAGAGATTCCCTGTTCCACAACAGCTTTTGCTGTAGATTGACTTTAGACAAGTACAGATTTTACTTGATTTTATTTTACTGCCAGAAAGGTCAAAAAATTGGTCTGACCTTCCTTTAACCCAAGATCAAGCAGAACCCTCCCTATGTGCCTCTATCCTGGGAATCACAAGAAAATCCTATGAACTTCCAGGGAGCACAAGGCATTTCTGCAAAGGCCAAATGCCTCTGTGCCATTTCCCAAACTGCACACAAATCTCTCCACGTTTCTAGGGGATTGCTGGCTGCCTGGGAGAGGCTGGAGGAAGCACAGATGATACTGGCAACTCAGAGGGAAGGTGGTACCAAGGAGCATCTGCTCCAGCACCTGCCCTGTGCTCTCCCTGAGGGTTTAGCTCACCAGGGCATGAGCCCATCCCCTTTATCTGCAGGTTTGATGCATACAGGCACAATTCCTAATCATGTCTTGTTCCACATGCAAAATCAAGAGCCAGGGGGATTCAGGTTGCCTTTGAGTATTTGGCAGAGTCGTGGTTGCAGTCTTGGCTTTTCACATAGTGTGTGACATGCTCCTTCTGCATCTCCTCAGATGCAGATAATCTCAGCCTTTGTCATTGGTATGACATTGTGATTCTGAGAGTGCTAATGAGGTCAGATCAAAATACTGCACAATGCACAGCCGCAGCAAGATGATGGATGACAGCAGAGGTGTAGCCACGTTCCTGTGTAGAAGCAATTACTACCACCCACTAGAACAATACCAGAAAATGATGATGTCTTAATCATTCCCTTGGCTTGATTTGAGGGGCAGCAACACTCTCTTTTCTCACTGCTCTTTGCACTGCATAAACCCCTGGAAGAAGCATTCAGCAGCTGCTTTTTCAGGCAGCACACCTTCCAGGAGCAGCACTGCTGCAAATGTGCTGTGTGGCTGAACACATTAGTGATTTGGAGTAAGGGTGTTTGCAAGAATTTGTCTTCACTTTGATAACGGGGAGCAGGGAGCCAGATGCTCAGCTAGCATAAATCTTCCTAGCTCCTTTGGCATCTGGTCCCACTGGCCTCTTTCTCCACCTTATGGACTGTGGTTGATGAAGTTCTTGGACAGGTTTGCAGCATCATTTCTTTATACAGAAATAAGCAGCCTAGAATGAAATAAACAAAAATTAAAAACCAGGCTTTAAATCTATGAGACTTATGCTTGTAGGATCTTCTGAAGGTCCTTGACAGCTTCCATGATGTTTCCTGTCCTTCCCCTTTTCTGTAGGGTACTCTTTTTATCCAGGCCTCACAAAGCTGGATGTTCCTTCCCAGGACAGGAGGCTGTAGGTAGCTCAGAGACATTTCTGCTCATCAGGCCTGGCAGACAACTTTTTTCTAAGTAGTTTAGAGCCATAAAATGTCATCCTGGGGGCTACTTCTGAGATGAGCTCATTGAAGGAAGCCATTGGTGGGTACTCAGGTTGTCTCCACCTGGTGCATCCTATGTGTTTCACTTGTTTCTGTGTTATCAGCTCTGTGGCTTTTCAAAGCGGCAGAAATTAACAGTTTTTCTCATGACTTGATAAGCCTCTTCAGACAAGCAACCTCCTTCCTGAACCCCAGGTAACACTCGATGGGGCTGAGTGTAGGATTTCAAGCCTGATCCCAAGGAATATTGATAATCCAGAGTTTCCCATCCTGTCTGGGATCTCAAATACTGAAAGCTGCATGCTGTGAGGTACATGGAGGGTATTCAGTAGACATGAGGCCAGCCCCAGGCTCTGCTTGGATTTGATTTGCTAGAATTGCCTGGAAAGCTGTTTTTGCCACACAAAGCTGTACTCAGTGTCTTCCAAACTGAATTAATACCTGTTTGAGTGGGACTGCAGCAGATAGCAGAGACATGCCAGCCCTTCCCTGACACAGCTGGGCATCTCCACATGGGAGGGGAGCTCTCCATACCTTTGGCAGTGCCTTCTACAGGGCAGCCACAGCAAAATGTGCTCCCTGGAAAACTGCTGAACACACTGCAGAACTCCTCTGACTGGCTCTGCCCTTTCCCAGCCTCCCAATTCCACACTGGATTTATCCAGGGAGCAAGCCAGCTCCGGAAAAGCCCAGGCAGAATTTGGAAATGGGGAAATGAGAATCAGCCTTTGGCATCTTTTGTGCTCTGTGTTTGACATTAACTGACAGCTCTTCTGAATCAATCTGGTCATTGATTCAGGCTAGTGGAGCAAATGAGAGAAGTGTAGCAGTCAGGGAAATGTGATAGCAGTAAATAAAGCCTGATCAGCTGCAATTATTTTATTTATCCATGGCTCTGCATCTTCATTTCTGAAATAATTGCCCATAAAGTATTGCAGAAGAAGCCAAATCTATTTATAAATCCTATGGCCCAGTAATAATAATTCCAAATGCATGATAGAAAAAGCACGTATTTGCTAAAACTCCAGGGAAGATTTAATGTATTTGCAATGTATCTTACAGTTAATGTGTACTTTTATTCAGCTCATAACAGTTCAATCATACAAAATTATTACCATACGGGACAGGAAAAAAATAGCAACCTCCCCTCCTCCCATGATTAGTGTATTTAACTGTACTAGTACTGTACATGCAACATAATAAAATTTATTTCCATGACTGCTGATATCTGCCGTTGCAGCTTTCTGTATGACTTATCAGGTAGGGATGGGTAGAGCCATAAATGACAAAAGGACCATTTGTAGCTTTGTAGTTTTATTTGGTTTCCCTTTGTTTCTGCTGGCTCGTAGAGTTAAATAGCTGGCTCAGCCACAAAACCAATACACTATTTTTTTCCTCCCAAGGCTTTATTCTTGAAGAGGGAAATTCTGCTCCAGCAGAGCCAGCATTAGGATTCCTATTGCACACACTGGTGCCAGGATTTTGAGAGAGGTTTTTAGAGTTCCTTATGGAAAAGCCAAATAGGATCAGATATAAAATTATACCTTGTTATTGGAGTTGTGAGAAAAGTGTCCTGTTGTCTGTGTTTAGGAACGACATCTCTCATCCCATTTTTATAGACTGCATTGTACAAACGTGTGCAAGGGGTATTCATTATAAAATCATTGAGGCTTATTTGTTCCATTCAAAGAAACACTACTGTATCTAGTGAACTCAGTTTTGATTGAACACATAAAAGCCAGTTCTGCTCCAAAAAATTTTACTTGATATTTTTAATATCTTCTTTTTTTTTTTTTCTTCTGATTTTACAAGTACAGGATTAGAAAGAGCCACATGACTCTTTCTTCCAGTAGATGCAGTTTGCAGTTCAAGTCTTTAATAAAGTAGAGCCAATTAGTCTCAGGGGGATAGCAGGCCAGAAGAGGATTTTGGGGTTGTGAAATCCAGTCCCCTTGAATCATGAGCATTCATTAACTGATCAAACACTGCTGACAGTGTTATTTGTAACTTTGACTCTCACTGTCCCTCCTGAAACTTGCTGCTGTGGAAATAATGCTGCCCATGGGAGCATCTCCATGTTCCTGCATCCTTCAGAGCCCTGACCCATCCCAGTGCCAGCCACAAAACTGGCTGGTAGCCATAGACTGGGGCAAACTGCTTCTCTCGTGAAAGAAGCACACCCACCTTTCAGTTCTGTAATGTTCCTGTAGCTGTCTCATGGCTCCAGGACACAGCTGCTGTTAACTGGGCTGAGATCAAGCAGCCAAGGTCACAGAAAAGCTAATAGTGTCCCTCAGGGGTGTGGATGTGACACCTGGGGATGTGGTTTAGTGTGCCACACCGTGTGCTGGGTGTTGAGTTGGGAGCTGGGCTTGGCAGTGCTGTGTTAGTTGTTGGACTCAGTGATCTTAGGGGTCTTTCCCAATTTAAATGAGTTTGTGATTCTGTGATTTTTATTTCAATTAGCAAAGCACAGCTTTTTGCTGGTTTTTAGATCACTTAGAGTGACAAAGGATTAGCAACATTCCTCAAGTTTCTCTTTGATTTGCTTTTGGACTGTTTAACAAATAATGCATCCTTTGATAGGGATATTAAATAGTCCAAACAATCCCTGTAATACAAACAACTGTTAATCGCTTTCATTTCC